ATCATAAGTTGAAATTTGTATATAAGATAGAAGATTAACAGAAATATTGGAAAGCTAGGAATTTGGTTAAAAAAGAAATTAGAAAATTACAGCTTATGAAAAACTACTGGATGATGATGTTAAAATAGAGTATTATGAGATGGTTGAACTCGTATATATTTCTCATTTATTCTTACAATAAAAGACGTAAGTAATATTCCAGATTCTGTGTGTTCTTTGGGAAATATTTGAATTCATTAAAATCACTTAGACATTAATCTCTTCTTGGTAAATAAAAAGATTGAGAGATTGAAAATAAATCACCATGACCAACGGTTTTAAATGAGGACAGATAAGTGAGCATATCTTGTATATTTGGGTAGGTCAATAGACTGTGGGCAGGAGTCTGAGAATTGAAGTGTTGTTTATGTTACCCATATTTTTAAAGGGGGTAATAAGGGTTGAACTAGAAAGAATCTTTACAAAATCATTTAACAAAATATTATAAAAAAGAGCCAACATCAATTTACTAAAGGGAAATCTCATCTTACTAGCTGTCTACAGTCAACTTCTTACAGGTTTCATCAGTGATGATAAATTGCATGAAAATAAAGCCATATGAAAGTACTACACAATTATCCTATTCACATCTTAAAACCTTTCACAGAGTTACATTTGAAACTTAATTAAACTACTTTATTATCAATGTATGTGAATAAACTCGACATCAGAAATTCATAATAAATCAAAGTTTAGTATTATTTAAGTTCTTACATTTTTTTATTACCCCTCCGAAAAGTATGACATGGCCAGGTGATTAGGGCATTTTACTCACAATCTTAGGGTCACGGGTTCGATTCCCCATCCCACCAAAGATGCTCACCCATTCAACCATGGGGGCATTATAATGTGATAGTCAATCCAACTATTCATTTGTAAAAGAGTTGACAGTGGGTGGTGATGAATTGTTGCCTTCCCTCTAGTCTTTCACTACTAAATTAGGGACAGCTAGTGCAGATAGCCATCTTATAGCTTAGTGCAAAATTCAAAACAAACCAACCAAATTGAAAAGTACAAAGTTTAACCTAAACTATTTATTATAATGTTGTTATCATTCAGACAAAGCATAACTTACACAACCTTAAATCTTATTTAGTTCCATGTAGACCTGTCACATTCTCACTTTCAGAAGTTGCCAATAGTTCTCTCTGACATTTAAGACTATATTGTTTATAACCAAAAGAAAGCCAAAGTTTTAGTCCATAAAATGATGTATTATATTTCATTGTTTTCTCTAGAGAGAATTGTATATTTTCCTTCCAGTTCCAACTTTATTCCACAGGAAATGCATCACCAAGCTTAGCTGAAATTTTAATGGCTTTTGTCACACAGTTAGAAAGCCAGAAAAATCGTGATAGTTATGGAACATTGTTTCCTTTTTGCATGTTATTATTCTGTATTCTTTTGTACATTATTTAATTAAATAAAAATTATTTAATGCACTAGTACTGTTAGTATGAAAAGGTAGGGTGAAATTTCATCGACAGCAAAAAAAAAAAAGACCCAGGTAACTATTTATTTCTTGTTTTTGTGTGTATCCTTTATTTATTATGATAAAAGTAACTAAAATGCAAAAATTGAAAACTTTTTAGGTTAGGTAAAGTAAAATAAATAATAATATTAATAATAAGTTTGAGGTACGTTCATGAGTAGTCCATGCATTATGTAATTTGATACTAGAATGTGAGCTATACGTTCCCCACTTGATTTGCAATTTATATGCCATGAATATTAGTTATACACAGTTCAAATGGCAATAAAACAATAAAATTTAAGTATAAATAGATGTATATTATTACAAACTTTAAGTTACTTAGGATAAACAATTGTTGTTTTCTGTTATAATTTGCAGTCATTCTAGAAAGCAAATTAATTAATTTTTTATGGTGGTTACGAGGTTGGTCAAATCAACCAACCTCATATAGAGTTAAATATTATCCTCCAAAAGTAATATAAAATCTTGTCTGTTATATGACAGTGTTTTCATATTCTTTGAGTGATGCACGTATTTAGAGATAAATGACATCAATTGACAACAAGTAGTTTACTTGAAAATCTTCAAGGTGCTTCTGTATTTTCTGTTTAAAAATAATTTGTAAGATATCAAAGTTTAGTAGCTGTTACACAAGCAGATTCTTACAATAATTTATTTATAAACAACATGTTAATTGGACCAAAACAAATCATAAAGGAAAACAAGAAATCAAGTAGTCACTTTTAAGTAATAATACCTTAAAAACAGAAGAAGATATTTTCATGTTTATTGGAAAATCTTTTCATGTTATCCTCTTGCATATTATGCTGCTTTAGCACTTGCTGAGGGTAAGCAATATGTAGTGTACATTATAAGTAATAGTTTTTCGTTGAGCACAAAAGTGCACTTCTTTAACACTGATGAACCAACATGTGTACATTGTAAATAAAGTTTTCCATTGAACATTAACATTGCTATTCTCCACTCGCAGAAGATAAACATGCAGTGTACATTGTAAATATAGTTTTCCATTGAACATTAACATTGCTATTCTCCACTCGCAGAAGATAAACATGCAGTGTACATTGTAAATATAGTTTTCCATTGAACATTAACATTGCTATTTTCCACTTGCAGAAGATAAACATGCAGTGTACATTGTAAATAAAGTTTTCCATTGAACATTAACATTGCTATTTTCCACTTGCAGAAGATAAACATGCAGTGTACATTGTAAATATAGTTTTTCCATTGAACATTAGCATTGCTATTTTCCACTTGCAGAAGATAAACATGCAGTGTACATTGTAAATATAGTTTTTCATTGACACTGAAGTGCTTTTTTTTTCTTCTTTTTGGGTTTATTAAATTCTACCTATGGAACCCTTTAAATTTAGTTTAAGGCCTTTGAAAAACTCATGGGGACTCTTGAAAAACAAAAGCTGAAAGTCTGGGACCCTTCACTGTTCAACCCAGTGAGAACACTGATAAGGTGCATTTATATTTTCAAATATCTTTTGATAAGGTGCCACATAGAAGAAAAGTTAAAGAAATCACATCAGTGGTAGTTTTGTAAAGAGTAGTTAATTGGGTTGTAGGTTGGTTGTATGAGAGAAATAAAAAAATTTTGAATCAATGGAATCCAGTCAAACTGAACATTTTTTACTAGTGGTGTGCTGCAAGGGTTACTGTTTAGGTCTATTTTTTCTTATATTAATGATACTGATAGGAGAATAGTTAGTAAATTGGTAAAGTTTACTAATGATATGAAACTGTTAGATATTTCTGATTGTATTGAGGATTTTGAGATACTATAGAATGACTTGGATCAGTTCAAAAATTTTGGCAAGTCAACTCTAATTATAGTAAATGGAAGATAAAGCATATGGTTATCATTTGGTTCACATGTTTAGGATAGATGGGAACCCATTCAATGTCATAACTGAAGATAAAGATCTTGGCATAGAGGTAGATAAGTCACTCAAACTATTAAGATAGTATTTTGTTGCTAGTAGTAAATGTAATATAATTTTAGGATTTATTTATAGACGTTTCAAACCAAAACAGGTAGTTATCTCTGTGCAAGCCACTTGTTAGGCCTCACTTGGAATACTGTTTATAGTTTTGGACTCTTCATCTAAGATAGGATACTGTCTTGTAGGAGAGGGATCACAAGAGGTTGTTTCTAAGCTGGTTCTAGGAAAAGAAGGGTTTTCTTAAGGGTATAGGTCATGATCTTTTATTTTCTCTTATTTAAGTTGTAAAGCTTATTAGAGGGAGATCAATAGGATAAAGGTCTGGCACCAAAATAATCATATTCTCCTCTATTTTTATGTGTTCTGTTTATTTTCCCCTTTATTCAGATACAATGAAAATAGCCCATTGAACAGTTTTTTGAATTAACAGTATTTAAACTGCAGTAAACTGTGCCTTATGGTTGGGCAGTCTTACTGGTCATGATAATGTAAGTATACACAGAAACCCTTTAGAAGTCTTAGAGTACTATTATTTCTCTTAAAAATAAAAGAATAGATTTAAATGTTTACATTTTTCCATGACAGGGTGTATTGGGACAGCCTTGAAGAACTATGTCATTCCATGTTGTTTATAATGCTATGTTAGTGTAGTATAAAATAATACCTAGATGTTTCTTACAGTTTGATTTGTAATTTATATACTATCTTTTGTATTCCATGATAAAACAACCTCTTGTTATGAAGGAAAGGGATCTTGATGTAATAGTTGATCAGTCTAAAGCCATCCAACAAGTGCATTGTTGCTAGTGGTAGGGCAAATAGGATTTTAGGTTGTATCTATAGAAATATTTAATACAAGTCTAAAGAGATTATACTTTCATTGTACAGGTCACTGGTTAGGCCGCATTTAGAATATTGTGTTCAGTCTTGAAATCCTTACCTAAGGAAAGACATTGAATTGTTGGAAAGGGTTCAGAGAAGGGTTACTAGAATGGTGGCAGGGATGGAGGGACTGTCATACGAGGAGAGGCTGAAATCTCTCAAATTATTTTCTCTTGAAAAAAGAAGAGTTAGGGGGATCTGATTGAGAGGTTTAAGATCATCATCTTTTTTCATACTTAACAGTGAGAATAGTAGGACAAGGAGAGACAAATATGAATTTTTGCAAGGCAGGAGTCATCTTCAGCTAAGACAGTTTCATTTTTCTAACAGGGTGGTTGACCTTTGAAATGGGTTGCCTTCAGATGTTTTAGAGGCAGTAAATTTAAGTGGGTTTAAGAAAAAGCTTGATAAGTATACAAATAATAAAGGCTGGATTTAAGATATTTTTGTTTAGTTAATTTACTTTAGTTTAGATGGAACAGCCGAGATGGACCAATGGGTCCCATGTTGTCCCAAAACGTTATGTTACATGAATAAGCACTTTAGGTTTTTAAGATTTTTGTGGTTTGTATTTAAATGTGCAAATACTAATGATATACTTAACAAATTCTTTCAATTCTCTTGTTCAGTTTTTTGCAGAAAAAAAAAGACTTAAGATGTCTGATCTAGCAGATAGTGACCACAGTGATATCGTTGTTGAAGATCCAAGTAATTCTTTGACTTGGGACATGACAGACTCTGATTATGCTCGAGTGATTTTCTGTGATGTAGCTGATTCATACTCAACTGATGTCGATGTAGAATGTCATTACCAGTTGTCATCTTTAATTGATCCTAAGGTAGACGACTATGTTGGCGTATACAGAATCGGCTGGAAGGAATCAAGTGAACATGTTGCAATGTTGTTTTGCAGTGAAGCAACCTACAGTCATGATACTTGTGTGACTCATTGTACTCTTCTGTTTAAAGGTAATAAAATCTGTGTAATGGTTTAAAGTTTTTGGTCAAAAGTACAGAATTCTCTAACATGGACATTTCTATAATATAATCTAATGAAGCTAGAATATTTTTTAGCATCTGAAATGGGAGAATATATCACATTTAGGAAACATGTGTAAGGTTTTCATAAAAGAAGTATTGTTTTGGTAGAAAAAAAAAAGAAACCCTCTCTGAATCAGCAAATAATACTTGTATTTTTTAAGTTTGCAAAAAAAATGGAATTAAATCTTAGCTTCTTTTGGCTTTAAAATTTTAGAAATTGATAGCTTGGTCTTTGCTATTACACTTCAATCAAATAATATTTTTTAGGTTTTTTTACTCTTACTATAATGAAATAGAATAAGAATAAAAGAACTATTTATGAATGTGAGAGATTTAAGTTGGATGAACATGATAGGCCAGATTTCCTTCTGTTACCTAGCCTTATGTTTTATGAAATACTATAGTCTGTAGGTTCAAAGGCAGGAGTTGAGTATCACAGAATATCATTTATATCGTAGTAAAGGTGATATATGATGATTATTGTAACCCATTGTTACTAATACTACAATACATGTAGTATAAAACTATGCATACACACAGATATATATATACATGAGAGTGAGCTTTTCAAAACACTATGCCTATCTCAATTCATAGGCTCTTATTATTCTGTTGCACAAGTATTAACCCTTTGGATTAAGTATTAACTTCAGCCATTCTTTGGTATTAACTTCCTTTCAGAAACTGTTAAGTGATAGTTTGTGGTTTTCAAAGTAAAATTTTATTGGCTTGTTTAAATGTCACTGTGAACATTCATCTGTTATTTATGTTTCTAATTAACAGAACAAAATTTCAAAAGGTTTTAATATGCTGTCTTTATTAAGAAGGTTGTACATTATCATCTGCAATATATAATTTGAGTAAGGATTAAGCTTGGAGAATTTAGCATTAAAAAATCCTAACATTAGGTAACACAGTATACTTACTATATATTTGTATGAGTACGTTTGATATACAAAAATCACTTTACATGTATAGGCCTTTAGGTAGCATTATTTACTTTGGTAATTAAGACAATGGTCTGTTAAATTTTTACCAGAAGCTAACACAAATCAAACATACAAAATCTTGATAATCTCTAAGGTTCACTTTACTATTATGCATAAGGATTAATTTCATTCCTTTTTTATATTCTTTAAAGTTACAGTTGCTATATAAAAATTGTTTACTTTATGCTGGTGGCTCTAGTATTATTGAACGTGGGATTCATCTCTTACATTTGTTTAACTAGATACAGGATTTAAACAAGATGAATTTGAAAAGTGTGATTGAATGAGGAAGAAGTTTTTGTTTGTATGTTTATATTTGTGTAATTTCTTTTCTTAATATAGAATTCCTGAAAATATGAAAAATATTTGTGTGCACTAGAAATTATATAAATCATTATTACATCAAAGAGGTATGATAATTGAGAAATTTAAGAATAATATATTTTAAATATGCTTCTAATTTTGTTTACTAGAAGGTTCCATTATTAGCAAGTGAAATGATAACTAAGATTTAGTACATTGAAAATGTGGTAGCTAAAATATCTGTCAGATTAGCAGAGTAATGATTTCACAGCTCTCACAATCTCAGTTTCACTTCATTGAAACTAACCATAAAGTCTTGCATAATTGCCTGTTTATTCCAGTGGTATTCATCTTGTGCATGTTAATTATTTCATCAAGGATGCAAATAAATAATATAGAATCAAAAATCAGATGAATCACAAAGTAAAAAACCTGATAACCCCAACATTTTGGAAAGTAACATTCCTCTTTTCAGGGTTATATTATGATTCAATTTAAATTCATAAAGTTAGTCACTTTCCAGTGGTGTTGGAACTGTAGCACCCCCACTTTTATATATTTGACTTATATAGCAATTTTAGATTATATTATTATATTAATTTTCTGTGGGAAGACATGCCCCTAGATTGAGCTGTCTTTGGCAGTACTTTCAATCTCTCATTGTAAAATCTGCATGTCTAGCTAAGCACTCCCACTTTACAACTCCTTCCTACACCACTGTTTTTTTCCAGCATTATTTATGTTTTAGGTGCTTGAATATATAAGTTGAAGAATTAAATACTTGGTTCTTGTTATTCTCATTGTGTATACAGAACATTGATATATCTTAGTATGTTGCTAAAAGTTTTACCATACTATAGGATTCTGATGTGTTTTTTATTCTGCCCATTGTTTAAGCATTTAGCTCATATATTAGTGATTGTAAAGTAGTAAAAGAAAATACCAGTAACTCTTAATGAACAAATGTGTAAGGATGATGATTGATTTAAGAGTGAGCTTGTTATTAAATGTTGAGGATAAATACTAAGGATAGAAGGAGTACAGAAATATTAAGTTTAGGAATATTTTGTATAAATTCCAACTTTAAATGCATTAACCATGAAATGCATTTATAAGATATACATGAATACTTTAAGTCGGCGGTTCCCATCTGCTGGTCCGTAAAAACGTGCCAGTCCACAGGAAGATTTCAGTCAGTTCACAAGACCGTTAAAAAAGTGTTTTAAAATTTAGTTACTGAAGTATATTGTTTTATAATGTAATTTAAAAGTACTTATACTTTTATACAAAAATTAATATTGCATGAAGTAGTCCCAAATATTTTAGGACTGGAACTAGCTGGTCTTTAGCTGGTAAAAGGTGATGAATTTTGTTAAGAGATATTTCACTTATAATGCATGTACATACAATACATTCTTTACTACATGTTTAACAAATTATTTCCAATTAAGGTCCTTTTTTGTCTCTTGTTTATGGTGTTTTTGTTTGTGTCTGCTCAGTGTTCTTGTATATTTTTTATTTTCAACAGCTCTACAAGCTGAAGAGGAAATCAGAACAAACATACACCTATTTACAAATCACATAGTATACACAAGCAGGCAAGGAAAGGTTAAACAACAAATGGCCACCAATTTTTAGCCCTTATATAGGATCTAGTAGGATTCAGAACCCCAGATCATGTAAAGTACTCACACTGTTCAAATTACAGTACACCATTCTGAGCCAGAGCTTGTGCTTTAGTAGTTAATTTAAAAGAACATAGCTGACTAATTATTATTTATTAGAACTGGGCAGTTTTATAAATCATTCAGTGTGAACAGTGACTAATGTCATATAAACTGATAATTTTTGTTGTTGTTGTTTTTTTTAGCTTGTAGATACCATGATTTGAGAAATACCTTACTAATCAATTACTTCACCCCTATATGCCATATTGGAGAATTAGTGTTTATTATAATTTTGACTTTACTATGCATATTTTAAAAAAGTTTAACAAGCTTTTAGTAAATATGAAAAGTCTGTTCTACACAAAAACTGAATTTTTAATAATGTACATTTACTAAAGGTTTTCTGCAAAGTTACTGAGTCAGTCTGACTCTGACTAATCTGAATATAAGATGATTTTCTTGTTACAGTTTTTATATTTTATATGCATAGCCTCTAGAACTTTTTTAATGAATGTCTGCTGTGTTATCTACCCTAACACTAACTGTTATAAAATTATCAATTATGGTTAATGTCTGATAAATGAAAAGTTAATAAATATGAAATAAAAATGAATAATGTCCTTTTTTTTTTTATGTGTCATTTACCTTTTTTTTAGTTAGTTTTTATCTTCAGAGTTTCAACTGTTAACCTTTTTGCATCTATTGTCTGTAAGTTTATGGTTTTATTATTGTACTTGGTAACTACTTTAGCACTAATCTTCTTGTCAAAGATAATAATTATCTCCCTCTGTGTTTAGCCGTGGGTCGTAAATGCCACGAGTGAAGTATGTGACCTATGTGATCTTTGCGAGTGCAAACCTTAACTGAGAAAGGCCTCACTTTTTTCACTAAGTTCTTCAAATAAAAATTTTTGGAGCTCTCAATTATACATTTCAGATCACAAAATGTATATTGGGCAATATAATAGAATATCCTGAAACAGCTATAATTTAACTGGCTTTCTAACTAAGTAACAAATAGGTTACAAAATTGACTTTCCTGCACGGAGCAGAAAACCATGATTGCAAAAAATTCAACTAAGGCTAAATATCTAATTACAAGTGACAAAATGAACTAGTCTCCTAATGAATCTTGTAAGGAACAATCTGTTCTTTCTATTAGTTATAAATAATTCAATAGTAACTGTCAGAGAGAATTACTCATATTTTTAGAATGATATAGGAGGGATGTTATATACGAGTTTGGCAGCTTTCTTTGCATATTTTTCATGAAAACAAGAAGCTTGGAGGCTAGAAGTATTTTATGGCTTGTTGGTTTGATATCTAAGTATGATTGGAGGAAAACTCAGAAGATAATATAAGGGTATAAAAAAATCTAGAATTGGTAATTTGGAGGGTAGACATTTTTAATGTAGAGAACTGAAGATTGAGAATGTATTTAAGTGCTTTCTTTTGAAACTAATAAATTAAAACTTAAATATGAAACTTTGAATAATAAACTATGTTTTGATGCCAAGTTTATTTATATATAATGATAATAAATCAAAATAATTAAATATTGAATGTAACTGAAAACATCATGACATGTGCTTTTACACTTGTGTATGCATAAGGTTAATGAGGCCATCAATTAGCAAATGCCACTAATTGCTAAGCTCTGTCAATTATAAGGGTAACTGGATTGAACACAGTCATTTTACATGCCATATTGGGCATTATGCATGTGATTTCCATTCCTTTGTATACATTGGTTACTTCTACAGCAGTTTCTTTAGTCATCATACATCACATAACCCATGAACTGTGTATATTAACTGATATTGCTTAAGAACCAACTTACCCTAAGTCATTAAACCAAGCAGAATTACAGTACATATATATCATTTACAAGATTTCACAGGTTTAAGTTTACTGTAACATACATTATGGAAATTAATACACTTATCCACATAGCTTTTACTGTTTAGTGGTTTTTGTAGTTAATTCATGGGTGGTGCAAAATAGTGAAGCCAGCTGCACCAATATTCACTGTCACAACAATGTTTAAAAAACATTTATTACACAGATATTTAAACATTTTATATCTTAGGCTAGTCATTAAACCTAACACTAATGAATTTGTTACTTCCAGCTGAAATGCTCCCTAAAGAAGATGGTCAGTATTATCAGTTTTGTTATATGACCAAAAATGGAGAAATTCATGGAGCAAGTATACCTTTTTCTTTCCACACACCTCAACAAGAACAACTGCTTATCACTGCAGCTGACGGAGAAGACAGTAGCTTTGTGGTTGTGCGATCACATCAAGCTTTTCTAGAGGAAAAGTTACGTAAAGCCACACAGATTATGAAGTTTGAACATCAGATTAAAGTGGAGTTAGAGAGAAAAGTTGAAAAATTAGAAAGTGATGCAATAGTGATGAAGAATCGGGAAACATTTCTTCAAGACCAGATTAAGGTAAGACAATTTGCTTTTACATATATACATTTTAAAATTTATATAAATAAGTTCTAATAAAAAAATTATTGTTGGTTGCTTTGTGTTTTGTAATAGCAGTATAAAGAAAAATAGCACATGTTATTGATTTCATGTAGAGCTGGTTGATTAGAGACATTTGCTAATAACTTAATTGTTGGGATCAGTGATTGATTATTCTTACATGAGATGGCTAATAAAACTTATAATGCTAAAAGTTTTATTTAGATACCCACAGTAGGCAGGCAACAGTTGTTCGTTATGTAGCTTTTTATAATTTAAATTACATTGTAGTTTTAGTAATCTGAAACACTAGTTGATTCTTTTTTGTGATATTAATCAATTTAATCATAATTTCAGTTAATAGATTATTTTACATGGCACTAATTGATGCTCAGGGGTAAGATATTATATTGAGTTTATTGCCCAACTCTAGTTGCATGTAAGGTTGAATTTGTCTTCTTTAAGAGCATTTTGGTTTAACCCTTTTACGACCAGGTATTTTGTATTCCCAGGAAGTAGAAGAATTTGGGAAAGTTTACAAAATTTCAATAATTGTATATTTTATTGAAGAAAGGCTTCACAAATCATACATCATTGGATTCATTATGAAAAACTTTTCAATGGTCCCTGGGAATAGAAATAGTGGGCATATCACATATGACCCTGTGGCAAGCAAGTACTTATGGTGTAACGTAGCCACCTAAGTTAAAACCTAATACCAAGTAATTTTGCACTTTATCCAAATACTAATTTCTAAATATCACACCTGTGAAACAAAACATCTGATATTTATGTCCACTCTGTGATCATTTTTTGTTGTCTTTCAAAATTTGTAGTGCATACTGGAGGTATGTATAGATTTTGATAAAAATATTACCTTTTCACTCCAGATAATTAAAAACAAACTTTTATTTTAGCCCTGAAGAAGCTGGTTAACATAAAAGTTTTATTTTAATTATCTGGAATATAAAGGTTGTTTTTTTCTATCTTTTGTATCACTGTGTGATCAGTCAAGTGCAGAATGGTTTTGAAGAATTTGTAGATGTATGTGTGTTATGAAGTTATACGTATGTAATAGAATTTATTGAATAAAGTCGTTTTCTTAAACTTGTGTTGATATATTTAATAAATTTTTTTTAATTACTCACTAAAACTAAAAAATAATTAAATTTGATAATACAAGATGCATATCATCAAACTGTGAAATATTTCTACCCCAGTGTTTTTGTCTATCCATACCACATGGTTGAATTTGTGAAAATCATGTTGCTTTTTAAAATCTATGATCAATCACTTGTCCATTTACCACACTTCAGCTCCTGGCATGAATCATGCCACCCACTACAGTTAAGAGTACAGTAGGCTAAATTGAATCAGTAACGGTTATATCTGAAGCAATTGGGAAGCTAGTTAATTACATACAGTTAATTTTTTAATATACACTATTGGCTGTTTGGTTATATATTTTTATCAGGTCATAAAAAAGTAAACTAAAAAGATAAAATTATCAATATCTGCATTAGTTTGATTATTTGTGCTATATTTTTTTTCATAGGTTCTCAAAAGTAACTCTGAGAAAGGTTAAAAGTTGAACCATCCTAATTTTGTAATATAAATATATATATACTAGCAAGGTTAACCACAGCCATGTTTCTTTTACAAGTTCATAAACTAATTCTTTGAAATAGTCTATTTTCTATTAGAGATGAAAACTCAAATAATATTTGTGTTATAGTGGTTTGGTAAGAGATTTCTTCATTAGCCCTAATTGAAAAAAGTGTTTCATGTGTGTGATTTATCCACCATGAAATACAGATATGCAGGCCTATTTATAATATGGTATCCACTCATTAACCCTTTTTTTTACTAAATGCAATCTTGATCCTGATTGGTTCTTACTTACTACTAAAGCATAGTTAAAAACATAAAATAATTATAATAGAGCACTAATTTGTAATATATTATATTTTACAGAATTATTGTTTTTGTAATTTATTACAGCTTTATTCAAACATTTGTGTCCCCTGAAAAGTTTGACAACCCAGGGGGACACACCCCCTGGTTGAGAACCAATGATATAAATAATTTTCAAATACTCTGTCAGTATTTTTTTAATATTAAATATGTGTTATTTTTAACTTACTAATTTTTTATGCTGTTGGATTTGGTGAGTACTTTCAAAATAATGACTCGTTATGACAGGCTATAGAGGCTGAAAAGGCTGCACTTGAGAACGAACTGAAAGATATCCTGGAAAAATACAATCAACAACAAGAGCAAACTGAAGATCTGAAGAAACTAGTGGATAAGCTACAGTCTGACCTTGAAAAAGGAAATGTGTATTGTAGTCAGGTCCAGGATACTGTAAAGACATTGGTATCAGAAAAAACAGAACTGGAAGGAAAGCTAAACAGGGAAAAAGAAGCCTTGATTGAACTTGAGGTAATATTTTCTCATAGGAATCATACTATATTTCTGGCTCACATTGCCATTGGAAACTTTCAGTATTACTTTCCAGCAATCTCCTGTAATCACAAAGTTGTATAAACTAGATGTTATATACACACACATAGTATGGCTAATTTGTATCCAATTTAATTATGTAAGATATGTATGAGTCTGAAATATTTTTGGTTTAAGTAGTGTATATGTCAGTAAATACAGTTAGTTTGATTTCATTGTATCTCTAACTTCTATGTTATCTTTTGTTCTTGAAATCTCCTAGAACAGTGTTTCTTAACCACCAAACCACAGACTGGCATCATGTTGTACAACCACATAATTGGTCTGTGGGATTTCACAAAAACTGACCGAATATTAATATGTAAATCATAATGGTTTTTTGTTGTATTTGTATTTTACAAGTCTGTAACAGTTTATGGAGGCATCGAGCCATCCCTTTGTATCAAAAAGGTTGAGAAATGCTACTCCCAAAGCTTATAATTTCTAGTATACAGTATTAGTCACTATGAAAAGGCATTATTTAAAATTACGCTGGTCAACAGAATTGAATATTTTTCTCTCATCAAAGATATAAACACACTTTTTTATAACAGTTTTGCAAGCTGATTCCAAATCTGTTTTTGGTTTTCTTTTAGCATATCTAGTCATCGAAATATGACTGGTGTTAATTTCAATACAATTTAGGTAATAATCACACATTAGGCTAGTTAACATTACAACTTTATTCATTTTTCAGTATAATTCCCATAAACATTATACACACCATACACTTGGTTAAATTTATACAGTACACACTTATGAAAAAAGAAATGGACAACAAATTGAAAATGATGCAGGTATGATTTTCTTTTGTAAACTTTGTCTGAGTTGTTGCGCTACAACATCCAGCAGTAGTCTGCCAGAAATACTTTCATTCCAGAAACTGATGTTTGGAAATTTCTCAACAAGGTATTGAAACCCTTTCGAATTCATCTTACCCCTCACTTTCACAAAATTCTTCATTAAATCGAGCTTAATGTAGACGGGTGGCAGGAAAATCTTTGGATCAAGTAAAGGAACACACTGGACACTGCTCGTTTTTGGCCCGTTTATGCTTCTTTGATGCTAATAATGATCTGTGGTTACACGGCTGTCCCATAGGCATAGGACACAACAGTATTTCGTGAACCCTCCTTGCATGCACATTAACATACCAATGACATTGAGATCACCACAGATATTCCATTGATGAGTGCTGTATTGGATTGCTTCCAGTAGTATATTCAAGTTATCATATGTCTCCTTTAGATGAACGGAGTGGGCAATCAGGATGCACGTCTTTAAGTTCCTGTTATGCATAGTTATTTTTTGCTTCACTGCAAAATATTATTGGCTAAAAAACATAGTTCTCTTAATATTATGGGAATTGTAATTAAGGCAATAACCTTTCAAATTTGATCGATCTCATCACGAAAACTTGACGTGCTATAGGAAAACCAAAAACATATTTGGAATCAGCATTCCAATAGCTATCTAGCCCATCTATAATTGTATCTGATGAAAATGACTTGTTGGCCAGTGTTATCATCCACAGAAATAAGATAAAATCACCAAAAGATTTTAAAAATCTGTTTCACCAGTAATAATAACAACAATGTGCATGCTTCTTCATAAAATTGTATTATCTCTTTCAAATTGAAAAGCATGTTTGAAAGTTAATTTTTATTGATATTACATACTATTAAGATATTCTAATTTGTCAGGATAAAAAATATTATATTTTGCATCATAAAGTTCCAGAAAGATATTTTCTTTGCTCGTAATAGGTCACCACATGTTTACAGTTTTCCTCAATGATGAAATATTGCTCATATTCTTTACTTTCAGTGTCATGTTAAAAGTATTCAGATGAAAAATGGGCAAGTAAGTGACCTTGAAAATCGTTTGATGGAAAAGATCGTGACAATGAAATGTATGGAGACCACCAACAATTCTTTACTGGATGAAATTTCAAGGCTAAAAAAAGATAAAGACCGCTTAAAAAAACAGCAAGAAAAGTCTAAGGTAAAACAAAATAGTATTTTATGTTCAATAATAGTAGTTGTGGTAGTGGTAACTTCACTGAAACAAACTTTACTGTTTCACACCTTGCAGGGGTGAGAAGGGCCTAGTGGTTAGCCTGTCAGACTGTGGAATTGAACTTTTGTAGTTCATGTTCCATTACTGCCACACACACACCTCCCACAAACAAAAAAAAACGTATTCAGTACCTTATAGCTGTGTGTGCATTATAAGAATGATGGTGAAATATGGATAACACAGACAGCTCTCGTGTAGCTTTGTGAGAAATCCAACAAACAAACACATCTAAGCATCTTTCCTATAACATGATTTTCAGTATATTAAGGTTTACTGATTCCTGATGGGGTTAAATAAGTGACTGAAGTTCATCTTGGTTCACTTCATAAAGCATTAAAATTAATTTTTAACTGCAATATTAGTTAATAATTATATATTACAAGTATTGTGATTCTTGTTCAAGCTTTCTTCATAAATTTCTCCACAACCTTTATGAACTCAGATTTAGAGAAAGGTAGTAATTTTGTAAAAATATTGTTTAAAGCCGAATATGGCATGATTTACTTGATCTTTACAACAGACAACTGAACTTAAAGCTGTAAAAACAGTCAGTTTTTTGTTTTTTTTCTCTCTTGATAAGATGTAATTTGGTAGTTTTTCTTGAAAAGGATGAGTTACAGTTCGTTCAGCAGCAGTTGGATAGCACAAAAACCATGCTTGAAGCCCAGGAAACTACCAAAGATTTGATGTGGGAAGAAATAAGAGCTCTGCGGGAATATAAGAAACAGGTAACCATAATGTTATAAAATACAATAAATTGAACTAAAAGATAAAACTTAATATTTTAATAATTTTTTAGCTAATTTACGTGCTGAAAGTTGACTAACTCCTTGTATCACCTTTTCTAGAACCTATGTACAAAACAAATGGCAATAAGCCTTTATAAAAATTAAAACAAAAAGCAACCCATAACTCTATCATCTGCACTTATAGTGACACTGTTTTGGCACACTTTTCTGTGAGCACACATGCATTGTAATGTCATTGGTTAACGTAGGACTTCTACATCATTTATAAATGATTCACAAGCTTTAATTAGGCACTAAAATCTTAGAATGTTAGTCTTGATCATTATTGTATTGTGTACATTTTTATATTCTTTTCCAATATTTCTGGCCAACAATTGGGGGGGGGGAGGCTGTGGAAACCTGCATTGGAATTATACCAATATGCATGATGTATGTATTGTCTGAATAAAATTATTTAAATTATTAATAAAAACATTTGAGTAATCTTAAGTACAAATCTTGATTTCCATGGAATTTCTGAAACACAAGTGGACAAGGCATATCATCTTTTCTACTCAGTAATCTGAAACTTAATGGAATAAATATAAAATTGACACTGAACTTTAAACTCTTTATTCATCATCTATATAAAGTTGTCTTTTATTATCTTATGTACTTATTTACTGATTTACATTTTCTTAAAATGTTTGTGACCAATCATTTTCCTTTGGTTCAGCTAAATGAAGTCAGTAACTGATTAGCACGGATATAGTTTTTACCTTTTTTTTCACTTCATTTTTATTTTTGCTTACACATCTTTAATTTCATTATTGGTCAGTAGATGAAATTTAATCATCATCCTCTTCTTTTTACTTTGTATATGTTCTTGTAATTAGTATTGTCCATTTATAATTGACCACAGTTAACAAAGTAATAATGTTTTTTTTTCAACATTGCATTGTTACCAGTATAAAAATTACATTGTGATTATGTTGCAGTTCTAATAAATTCTCTACAGATTAAAAGTTCATTAGTGAACATCGTATTTTATTTAAAATGTTATTTTTCTCATCAGAAGGACAGTCAGCACTCAAAACTTTTTACCATTTCAAAGCAAAGCAAAAGTTGCTATTAATTTCACATATTGTTAAAATATTACAAAGTTAGCAGATATAACACTGAAGTTTTTAAAACTTTACATTATGATGATGCATGAACTCAATCTTTTCAAACAAACCTCTTTCTTATCATGTGTGAACCAGTCATGGCCTAGTGGTTAGTGTACCAGGCTGAATATCGGTCCGTAGTTTCTAATTTGTGGCTACAAAAAAAAACTGCTGTGCACTTTAGAGTTACGTATTATGAAAGTGATAGCTAAATCCTACTATTCAATTACAGTAGTCCAAGAATTGGTGGTAGATTCTGTTAACAGATTGACTTCTCTCCATCCTCCATCCCTCTATCTTATCATTTCAAAATTAGGATAGTCCGTGTATAACTTTACACAAATATTCAAAACAAACATGTACAGTGTGTTTGTGTGGAGAGAGAGAAATGTTTATTAAAATAAAATGTATTGTTTAATTTTATTGATTCTTTTTTAAAAAAGAGTTACCACATCACCTACCATATATACACTGATCTAATCAGTCACTTAACTGTAGTATTCTTCATTCCAGTCTGGTGATATTATTGAGAAAATTAAACATGAGAATGCAAGTCTGAAGAAATCCGTAGATGCTTCTAACCTGCAGCTCAGTGATTATAATGTAAGTTTCATTTTTGATGTTATAAATGGAGGAATATTTGTTATAAATTATTACATTAAGACCTGATATTCATTGAAGTTATCATGGTTAGTTACATATCTGTGAAAAATGCAACAAATATGTTTTTAAAGTTATAAAAAAAACTTTTAAGTGCAGCTCTACATCAGCTATAACATAATAAACTATCAAATATATATATATATATATTGAAAGAATTGCGTTCACATTTCTTGAGTGACCAGAATAAATAAGTAGTGTTTAAACAGGCCATTAAGAGTAAAAACATGTAAATAATAAGTTAGTAAAAAAACCATTGGACTAATGCTTAACCCAGAATATCAATGTCTTTCTGATGTATTCTTTAATTAATTGTTATTTTTTGAGTACATTTCTTTTAGTCAGTAATTATTCTACAAATCTGATGCAATAGGCATCAAAGATTTCTATCAATTCAACTTCTATTATTGAAAAAAAAACTTAGATATTGTAAGATCTATACTTGAATGATGTTAAGATTAAAAATACTTTTCTTCATCTGAAAATTTTCAGATTTCATTTGTGTAACCTCTTAATATCAAACATTGTTTTTGTTTGTTTTTTCAGTAAATATTTTTATTTTATTTGTTTTTTTTTCTCTACCACAACTCTATATGGACCCGATTAATTTCTATAAGGACTGCAAATTGCAACAGGAAACTACATTTGTTTATCCTAAATACCTTCAGGCTCATAACAGTTTAGACTTGTTTCTTTTTTAATTTTATTGTCCTTTGAACCATGTCTAGCAAATAGTCCTGCCATACAAGTTGTAAGTCACTTGGCAAACGAGTAGCTCAACTTACCATATTGAATGATTGGAAGATTATTATTGTTATCTGTCACTATTTTATCTAATATAACCTTATCTAAACTAATAAGATTCTAATTTTGATGTTTTAGTTACTTTTATAACAATGCAATAAATAAAAAAATATACATGAAAAACAAGAAATATAGTACTTACTTTTGACTTCTCATGTTTTTTTGTTGTTTGTTTTTTTGGGGGGGTTTCTGATGAAATTTAAACCTACTTTTATTATACTGATGCTACTAGTACACTAAGTAATTTTTATTTAGTTTAATAATGCACCTAACAACAGAATAATAACAGGCACAAAGAAAACAATGTCCTGTAACTATCATAATTTAACTGGCTTTTTGATTATGGCACAAGAGCCTTAAAATAATTCCCTAACCTTCTTGACCTGAACACCACAATAAAAAATTTCAAACTGAAAATGAAATGAACAATACTCTGTACTGAAAATAACGTAATATAATTCATCATTTGATAGATTAAAGGTTTGACTTTCTATTGGTTATAAATGATATAAAAATGTCGAAGAAGATTATTGGCAATTCTTGAAAAAGAGGATGTGACAAGTGGGTCTGATTTTCTAGTTTGTCTCTGTAAACAAATAAGATTGAAGACTATAAAAATTAGACTTTGCCTCAGTAATATCTATATTATAATGAGTAATTTCTGTTAAACTCTGTACTTCAGAAAGGGGTGATAAATAAATTAGAGAATGGGCAAGACTTAGAGAACAAATGTCATAATTCTCATTCAAAGAGAGATTGAGGGTTTATTTAAATATTTCTTTTTAAGATTCAAAAATTAAAACACATGTTAATACTTGATTTATTGACTATGTTTTGAAGCCAAGTTTATTCATATATTTTGATAATAAAATTGTTTAATTAACTCTGTAAAGATCATAAAGTGAGAGGGTTAATAGTTGAGAGTAGGAGATTGAAGGAAGTTGAAATAAATATCCAATGAATTCAAACTAGCTAAGTTAAGCATGGCAAGGTACCACACCTTGAACTAGAGGAGGATTTTCCATGACCTACCACTGACTAAAATTGTACAATAAACTCAATTTAATTGACTGATAAATTATTGTTTCCAGTTATTACTGTTCTTGATTATTCCAGCTATACAAGTAATTAAAATATTACCATTAGGATTTTTCATTATTATTTTTGATTAATTCAAGATTTGTCAGTTTAATCAATTAGTTGACAACTCAAGAAAATAATCAACTAATTAAAGTTAGTGTTTCCGATTATTACTATTTTGGATTATTCCAATTATCCAAGTCTTGTGAGAATAAAAAAAATTAGTTCAATGTAATCAATTAATGAGCTTGGCAATTAATCAGTTATCAAATTACTAATTGCCCAGCTCTACCATTGGCAATATTTGACTTTAATAAATTACTTTAAAAAACTAAATACACTATAACTCTCACTATGGGCTTGGTCCCAGGGACCAACCTTATAAACATTTTGTGCTTGTTATAGTGTTCATGCTATAACTTTTAATACAGTAAATGCATCTTCACAAAATTTGCAGATTAACAGTAAACATTACAAGACTTTCGTACACAAAATATCAGATTGTTTTTTTTTAAGTTTTAAGATTTTTTAAGTAATGATTTGCTCATGCATTTTTCTTTTTGAATGTTGATTATCCAACATGCAAAGGAATTTTGATTTTAACATTAAAAATATTATTTTTGTATCAGAAAAGTTTCAAATTTCACATACGAAATCATTATAACCTCCTGATAAATATCAAACTTTTTATTTTTTTGAAAAAAAAATATTTTGTTATTTTTGCTATTGTATCTCTGTATGGGTTTGGTTGATTTGACTCTTGTAATCACCATAAAAATTAGGAAATAAATATAGATTATGCTTTTTTCATTCTAAATTTACTACAAATTATAACACGAAACCATAAATGTTTAGCCTAAATAACTTAAATTTCATAACATTATACATATATAAAAAATTTATTATTTTTATTTTATTGAACTTTCAGCAGTGTCTGACTAACATTACAGAAGTTAAAATAAATGACGAGGTGCACGTGCACTCGTTATCGTATCCAATAATATAAAACTGGCCTTTACAAAGCAACCTATCTTGGCTGTGTTCTAGTGGACCAGTATTTGGTAGAATACAGTCACATTTCAGTTATAATACATTATATATGTATATATATATATATATATTATTACTATTTACAAATAAGTTCTTAACTTTCAGTTATTTTTATTAAAGCATAGAACAGTAAATGTTATGAACTTTGTACTCCTTTGCTGCTTGTCATAATTTGCTAAGCCTTATCAAATTTCACACATGGAGAATGTGAAACAAATTGTATTTATGTTTTATATATGCATTTTGAAATAACCAAAAATCATAAATTACTATGTTAATACCACAGAATTCAACTATAATTTATCAGGCTTAATAACAGCTGTATTTGGGTCTAAAAAATATGATTTTTTGAGCTCAATAATGTGTTACTTTACCACTTGGAATCTTCCATGGAAAGAAAAGGTTTCCCATGTAAATACTTCGCAGAGGCTCACAAAACCATGTGGGGGACATTCCAAGCTTTTGATTGGCTATTCACATATCATAGACAGAAGTAGGTGTACGTAAGCAGGTATTTCCAAAAATAGAAAGAGGTGGATGGGGCTACTGTGTTTGAGTCAATAAATGTAGTTATATCTCAGTAAATAGAAAATATAGGAGGTTCTTGTTTTATATTCTAGCTTGTCAATATCGGTAATTTTAGTTTCTAATTTGTCAGAAACTATAGACTTTGTATTTGGACATCTCAAACATCTAATCTGAACCAATGCTGCATTAAACATCCCACATGACACACAAAAATGAATATTTAGGATTTTTTTTCTTTTTTATATTTACTCTTAAATTAAGAAAGTAACTAATGTATAATACTAAAATTTGAATTATAATGTACAATTTGGTACCAAATATATTAACATATGTTTATAAAATAATAGTTCAATAAAATTTTGGATGCAAGTCTACAAACGCAATGACATGGCCTTTGACCAGTGACCATAGGAAGACCTTGATAAGGTTAAAATAAAAAGTATGAGTACTTAAAACACTGAAATGAAGTTTAGAAATCCAAAATGGCAAAAACATTTACAAGTGTTTGCCTTAGAAAATTTATAAACTTGGTTCAAATACTTTGTCAAAGATTATGTTGGAACTTTTTAAGGAAAAACATCAAGCTGTCCTGACCTAGCATAATGTTGCTAAAGTTTGTGTTATAGAATATTTTTCATTACATCTTTATAAATCTAGACATTAGTTATGTAATTTTTGGAAAACTGTAATTGTTGTTAATTATTATAATGTTGAAGCACAATGGTCAATCTTAGGGACTGTTAAACAAGTTGTACTTCAGACTGGCTTATTTCCAAACTATTGCTTTAATACTTAAATATGAACTTTAAGTGAAGTATTTTAAAGGGAAATAAATTACTTAACTGCACATCGTTTTTCACAATAAATCGCATATTAATAAGTGTTAGAAATTACATAAATTAGAACATTCAAAAAGTTTGGTTAGTTGGTTTTAAAAACTTGTATTTTCCTATTTTTTGATTAATGTTGTATTTGTACATTAAATAATATTCTTTATTTGTTTTGATATAGATGGGATCTCATCCTAGAAACGTTCTCGAGTTCCCTAATGATGACAACAAAGGAAACAAGGTAAATTTTCTTCTTTTTTTTTTTTGTTTCAAAGTAATTTAGATATAAAAAAATATTTTAAATCTTGTATTTGATTACTCAGAGAGAGAATTTTGGTATAATAGAAAATACAATCTGACATAGAGACCTAATATATTATTCGATTTGACTTTTCAAACCTCATCAACACAGCTTAGGTCAGCAAACCAAAGAAACACAGTAAGGTACCTTATAATGATGTATATATATAATATTTATAGTTTTTAAATGGTGAATTTAAAAGACTTGCAAATTTCATAAATATTTTTATATGATTGTTTAGTAGAACAAATTGGTGCTTCATATACATGTTTGTATATCTTTTTTTTTTTTATGTTTTTCCTGCTATTTTAATTCGCATGTGCTTGTTTCAAGAGAAAGTTAACCGAGTCTTTTCCTAGTGGTGAGAATACTGCACATGACATTTTTCTTATTTTCTTCAGAATGTGTAGTGTATACTGGAGGGATTTAGATATTTTAACAATAAAGTTAGAAAAAAACAACCTACTGTACATAACTTTAAAAAAGTTTTTTTTATTTCAACCAACATTTTACCATTGTGGCTTCAACACAGTTAGTAAAAAACTGATTGATATTAAAATATATGTTAAATTATTAAATTGCTTTTGATTATTCTCTTTCTCGAGTTTGTCATAATGTGCTTTTATGTCTAAGGAATGTTGCAACAAATTCAAGAAACAGAATGTCAAAAGCAATTTATTAAGTTTATGTATATTTTCATATCAATCAATTTTTCAAGCTGCAATTGCAAAATTTGGGTTGACATAAAAAAGGCCCTTTTTTAATTGTTTTGTTAGTATAGGTACTTTTTTCAAACTATTTTAAAAATGTCTATTATTTTTCGACATTCTTCATAGAACTAAGATCACAGAAGCATCTATAGTTTGTTGCACCCCCTTTTTGCTTTATTCTGAAGTTTATAATTCCTAATTTTTTTTGAATGTTTACTTCTAAGATGAGATTTCCAGTTGTAATTTTTAAATCTAATTCATAATATTTTTGTGATGTGTAGTTTTTATCATTATTATTATTATTCATTATATGTAAGTGTAGGGTGAATACTAAATCAAAAAACATCACTCAGTGGCAAATTACTCCACTAGTAATATAAAACTTCAAAGAGATTTTAGTAAAGTATTAATTTTGTTACACACACACACACACATGGCTTCACCATAGGAATATACTTTGTCAAAATTCCTCTAAAGTGTAGTTGGGTTTGTTGAAGCATCATAAGAATCCAGTTGACTTTTGCTAGTATGCAAAATGTTGTGTAAAGTAGGCTTTAGCCAGATTGGCTTTTTTTTTTAACTGTATTTTCTCATTATATCAACATTTATTATTTTGAGTTTTTACAACCTCCTGTGAATTTATATGTCAATAAATTTATTTTGATTGATAATTTTTTCACAAAATTTCTATCAAATGCAACCTGATGAGTTCTAGTATGGCATGAAAAGCCTCGTCAGCAAAGGATATGGCAGATGTGGTGTGGTTGATTGGTCAGAATATATTCTCCTTTTCTTTAAATCACAAGTTCTTATAAAGATATATTAATGAGTTTGAAATTCAGAAACCACCATCTTTGCATTGTCAAATTTTTATTGCTGGAATGTGGAAGAAAATTGATGGTGTGAGATACCCGATTTTAATGTAACATAAAATTTGGGGACAATATGGGGCCTATTGGTCCATCTTGGTTGTTCCATCCTCAAAACTAAATTAAAATGAAGAAAAAAAAAAGAAAATTTAAACCCAACCCTTTTTATTCATATACTTATCAAGCTTTTTCTTAAACTCACTTAAATTTACTGCCTCTACAACATCCGAAGGTAACCCATTCCAAAGGCCAACCACCCTGTTAGAAAAATGAAACTGTCTTAGCTGAAGATGACTCCTACATTGCCAAAATTTATATTTGTGTCCCCTAGTCCTACTATTCTCATGATACTTCAACACTATCAATTCCCTTTACTATCTTAAACACCTCAATCAGATCCCCCCCTAACTCATGATACTTCAACACTATCAATTCCCTTTACTATCTTAAACACCTCAATCAGACCCCCCCCCCCCCTAACTCTTCTTTTTTCAAGAGAAAACAATTTGAGAGATTTCAGCCTCTTGTCATATGACAACCCCTCCATCCCAGGCACCATTCTAGTAACCCTTCTCTGAACCCTATTCAACAATTCAGTGTCCGTCCTAAGGTAAGAAGCCCAAGAATGAACACAATATTCCAAATGTGGCCTAATCAGTGACCTGTATAAT